GTTAATGAACAAGATGTAAGAATGGCATTTGAAACACTAAAGGTAAGGTGAATATATATATAATTTTAAATTTCTTGAGAAATCTTCTAAAAAATTCCAAAAATTTTGTAGAATCAAAATTCTTTATTGATGTTTCACGCAGAAATGGAAAAAGAGAATTCTAAAGCTACTCTGCAAAATAATCAAAATAATCAAAATTATAGTAATAATAATATTGATAACGAATACAGAGAATTTCTAGAATCAAGACCTTCTTCTTTAGAAATTGATGCAATCTCATTTGTAATTGAATTAACCAAAGAATATAATAAATCGGTTAGAACACATATTGTACATTTATCAGCATCGGATGCTCTGGACGCTATCACCAAAGCCAAATTAGTTGATGGTTTGCCAATAACAGTTGAGACATGCTTTCATTATCTTTGTTTATCCGCAGAAGAAATCCCTGCTGGCAGAACTGAATTTAAGTGTTGTCCACCTATTAGAGACGATAAAAATCGAGACAAGCTTTGGAAAGTAAGTAAATTATGTGTTTGTAAGATTAGAATTCTTTTTTCTTTTTTTTTTCTTTAATAAAATGGATTCATTAGTGTTATTTATTAAAAGGCATTGATAGATGGGGTAATTGATTGCATCGTGTCAGATCATTCACCTTGTACTAGTAATTTAAAGGAAGGAGGTTTTGGAAAAGCTTGGGGTGGTATTTCAACATTACAGTTTGGTTTACCAGTATTATGGACTGAAGCCAAAAGAAGAAACCTTTCCAGTTTTAATAATCTTGTAAATTGGTTATCAAGAAATCCAGCAAAACTAGTTGGATTAAATGATAGAAAAGGCGAAATTAAGGTTGGGTATGATGCTGACATTATTATCTGGAATCCAGAAGAATCCTTCAAAGTAATTAATTATTATTATTTTTGTTGCTGACAGTAAATCATTATAATTATAATTTGGAATTGTTCATATCATTAATAATTTTAATAATATTATTATTCAGATAACAGAGGATTCGATAGAATTTAAAAATAAAGTGACGCCATATTTAGGAAAAGAATTTTATGGGGTGGTTAAGAAAACAATCCTAAGAGGAAAGATTATTTATGATGATAATAATATTAGCAGCATTGTCATTATTAACATATAAATAATAATTTTCTTTTCCGTGAATATTGTATTATT